AAAAATACCTTTGTATAAAAGGTATACATTCTTTCTCTTTTCCCGGCAGAAATTAGTTTGTTGAATGCTTGCACCAGTTTTTAGATCATATTTTCAGCTCATGCCTGATGCCAGTACTTAAGGAACAAAGGTGTGAGGATTACAGAGAGTTGGAGGCCAGTCGGATCTACCTAGCAAATCCCTAGCCAGTCAATACTACACAGCAAGACCCGATCTCAATTAATTAATTGTTAATTACAGTAAAATTGATTGTAGTAGTCTCTTGGCAATGAGACTATGTCTCAGGAAGGATCATTGTTGCAAAGTTGAATCACAGAACTGGAGCTCATCCACTTGTAGTGTTGGGACATGTAGTCGATATGTTTATTGTATCTACACCTTCAGTTGGAAGTTTAAATGCATTTAATGAGCATCTCACGTGCTTGTCTTTAGCAACTCAAGTAGCTTGAGTGGAGCTGCTGATCAACACAGAATATATCGACTTTTGTGTAAGCCAGTGCTCTGGAATGACATTGATAGCTCCTTGCTTTTAAAATATAGGAGTTCTTTGGTTTCTAAAAACTTCACACAGGGCTGGAGGGATGACTTGGTGGTTAAGAACCACTGGCTGCTCTTCCAAAGGACCAGGTTTGATTCCCAGCACCCATATGGTGATTCACAACAGTCTGTAACTCTAGTCCCAAGTAATCCAACACTCTCTTCTGGCAATAAGAATGCACATGGTTCACAGGCATACATCCAGACAAAATACCCATCCACACAAAAATGAAAACAAAGAAAATAAAAAATATACCTAGCTTACATTCTAGTTTAATGTTTCTTCTTTTAATGATTTATTTTTATTTTATTTGCATTGGTGTTTTGCCTGCATGGGTGTCTGTATGAGGCTGTGAGATCCTGGAGTTATAGACAGTTGTTAGTTAACATATGGGTGCTGGAAATTGAGAGATGACCTCTCTCCAGCCCCTAGTCTAATGTTTCTTTCTCATACTACAAGCATTAGTAATATCTTAATCTTCTCCTTCAGTCTTCACTAAAGGGCTGGATATGTCGTTTTAATATTTTCCTTATTCTCTTTTCTTTCTCCATTTCCAATCCATCACACACTAATGTACAAACTATCAGACCTTGGTTCTTTGTAATGAGTAAAGTGCTAACAGCTTCAGGGAGGCCCTGCCTCCTTGTATTAGTTGCTTTTCTCTTGCTGTGATAAAACACCAGGATCAAGGCATCTTACAGAAGCCTATGGTTCCAGAGAAATAAGTGTCCATGATGGCAGAGAGGAACAACAGCAAGCAGCAGGCACGGCGACTAGAACAGAGAGCCGAGAACTCTCATTTTGAGCTAAAAGGACAAAGCAAAGGGAACAAAGTGTGAGTATTCGTGGCCTTAAGCTGGCAAAGTCCATCACAGTGACATACTTTCTCCACCAAGGCTGTACCTCCTAAACCTCCCCCAAACAATGCCACCAACTAGGACGAAGTATTCCAATGCCCAAGACTATGAGGGACATTTTCATTCAAACCACTGCAATCTTCATACTGGAAAAGAAGCAAACATAAATATAGGGTTCAAGTGTAAAAATTCAGGCTGGAGAAATAGCTCAGTGGTTAAGAACATATACTGGTCTGCCAGTAGAGCCAGCTTCACTTCCCAGCACCTACAACAGCTCACAAGCACCTTTAACTGCAGTGGGATCCAATGTCTCTGGCCTCCGTGGGTACCTGAGCACAGGCACACTTGCAGGTGCGCATTTGTGTGTGCGTGCGCTCACACACACACACACACACACAGAGAGAGACAGAGAGACAGAGAGACAGAGAGACAGAGACAGAGAGAGGCAGAGACAGACAGACACACACGCACTTTAAAATAATAAAGTTTCTTAAAAATGTTTCACAAAGTTATAGCCCACTGGAGACATGGTTAGCCTAAAGATGTAAAAAGCAATAGGTTCCCTAAACATTTTCCTCTGTGTGGTCCAGGTATCTAGGTAGGCTTCTAGTAAAACACCTATGATCTCCTCAAGGCCTTGTGGCCCCAGCAAAACTGACTTCAAGTTCCCTTTCACACAGCTTACTACGTTGTGCTTCCAGTGAGCCCTGTTTCCACAAGAGTCTGTATCAGTTATGTTTAATGTTTCTGGTAATCCATTTTAAAACAAAACAAATATAAAGTGTCCAAACAAAGTAGAAATATGGTTTTTTTTCCTATAGAAAAGAAGCCCAGTGGGCCAGTTTAGAGATCTAGACTAATGGTTAAGTAAAATGAAAAAAATGTTTGTATATTAAGCTGATACTTAAAATATGGATGTATATTTGCTACTGACATGGAAATGTTCTAGGATACAGTTTCAAGCAGAAAAAATAGGATTGCATATGTAGCATCATGAATTCAAAAACATTCTTTTTAACATTAACAGTATTTATCCAAGCACTGGGATTAGTAATGGGCAATTTTACTCTCCACTTTTCCATGTATTTTTGCATGTTTTGCAATGAGCATGCAGTATTTACATGACTATTGTACAAAGAAAAACACTTTGGAGGCTTGGGAGAAACTCAGTAGATAAAGCCCTCGCCAAAAAAAGCATGAGTTTGGATTCCATGAAACACATGAAAGCCAGGTAGATATGAGGACTACCTTGTAATACCAGGGGACTGGCAGAAAGGGCAAAGACAGGAGACACCCCACAGTGAGCTGCCTAGCCAAGCCAAGGTGAATCAGGGAGATCAGGGTTCAGCAAGAGACCCCACCTCAATAAGTAGGGTGGAGAGGATCAAGCAAGACATCAGATACCAATCTTAGGCTTCTACACCCATCAGTGCACACATGCATACATGGACACCCTCACATATAGATATGCAAACAAATTTAAAAGACCCTGAGAAGCCATCTTCAAAAATTCCAAAGCAGACCAAGCCTGTAAAACTTCCAATCTGCACATCAGACCTCAACCCTTGGGTTTTGTAAGTTGCCCAGTAGACACCATCTTCATAGCAATAATAACATGAAATGCAGTAACTACAGGTCTCCAGTAACACTGAGCAAAACAGTAATGAGGACAGTGGTTCCTTTTGGATTTTAAACCCAACCAATTTGAGTTGTGCATCAGCTCTGTTGTCTGGGAATTTTTAATGTGACACCTGCAGGAGACAGAGCAGGCCTCACCCAAGGCCTCCTGTATGCTGTGCATATATGTATATCTGAATTGCAGCCATTGACAGCTCCAGCAGTCCTTGTCCCTTTTTCATTGTCTGGTGCAATCACACTTTAGACTTTCCTGCTGGGAGATAAATAGAATGTTTGAACTCAGAGTCTGCCTTTCCCACAAGTGTGACAGTAAGCCCTTGGCCTCATTGCTTTTCTCTCTAAAATGGACAGAATAATGACTACAGTGTCAAAGGACACTGAAAAGAAAATGAAATCATTGATAGCAGTCGTGTTGCCAGATGGAAAGAAGCATGCATAATACTGGGCACACAGACTTATCTCCAAATCACAAGCCTATGCAGCTGGGGTGTGTTTCATAGGCAGACACTGTCTATCATCTTTGGTCCTGCCCACAACACCTGTAACCACAATGGCCTAACAGGTTGGTTGCTACTTCAAACGGCAGCAGAAAATTGAGAAAAGCAGGTGTTAGAAGGAAGAAGGAGGAATTGCCACCACAAAGATGAATTGTGACAAAGGCAGCCAGAACGTCATCATGTTCTTGGACGTTGTGAGTGAGCTTTAATTCGTCCAATAAGCTTACTCTACTAAAGGACTTTTCAAAATAGACTAAATGTGATTTTCTTGAAATGTCAATTTATAGATTCCACTAATTCCAAATATCTGCAAACTAAATATTTTAAACTTCTCACAGACAGAAAAAGAAAAACCCAATAGTTAAAAACAAATAAGCTGGGCATGGATTTTGCATGCTTTTAATCCCAGCACTCAGAAGGCAGAGGCAGATGGATCTCTGTGAGTTCAAGACCAGCCTAGTCTGCATAGTTTGAGGCCAGCCAGGGCTACTTAGTGAGACCCCCATCTCAGGAAAAAAACAAACAAAAACCCAAATAACTCTTATTCGATTAAAGGGAAAAGATAGCCTTTACTTGGAGAAACAGTCACTCTGAACACCATTCACACCTGGTGCACATGCGCACATACACACACACACACACACACACACACACACACACACACACACAGAGTGGGGAGGGGGCAAGGCAGCATCGGGGGAGGAGGAGTTATACCGTTCCCTTTGAAATGGCATCTGTCTTAACCTCCGTCTTCACAGGTGGAGGGAATTTAGGGTAGAATGCTGTAGGTTCATTAGTCCCACCTAAGTTTTTTCTAACTAGGTTGAATTACATGGTGCCAGAGGCCCACTGGGGGCTCCTCCTTGCTTGGGTTTCTGGTCGGCACCTGGATCAGCTCAGATTGCCTTGGAGACCTGGCCTTCACACTAAAAAGGCAGCTGACATTGATTGACTCTTACAGTTTGGGTGACTTGTGGTTTCTCTTACCATGTAGACAGATGAGTTTCCCATTTCTGTTTCATTCTGAAGGGATTTGGTGGAACTTCCCACAATGAGCTTTGTATAATACCCTTTGTCTGTAAGGATTTGTTTCCCAACACTTTAAGCTTCTTTAAACACCCCCAAGTGCCATTTGTGAGATTTGTTTACTGTGGGATATGCTTTTGTGTCTTTGTTAGGGACTTCATCGGCAATGGCTTTTAGAATACTCACCCCACTACCCCATAGGCATAGATCAGCCCAACAGCACCTGCTCTGGGCTTCCACCATGACCCAGTAACTTCTCTACATCTCAATATTCCCATCTCTAAAGTATTTCAGACTTTAAATGTGTCATTGGGCTATCGATATCTGGTTTATTGGAAACTTCCAGTGAATTTTGTGTATGTAAATATACTTGCTGAAAGCAATATTTTGCTTTGTTAACATTGTGATGATACTAATTATTAATGTTTCTTCTTTTGCTTTTAGTTCTGTCAGTACTGTGTCCTACTCGGATCAGCCCAGGCAGCAATATGAGACGTCTCCCTTTACAGTTCACATGAAAAACACCTACCAGTTAGGTGTGTTACTGATAAGCTAAATTTCTAATTCCATGACCTGTGTTAATTTAACTGTATCCTGGTATTGTCTTCAGTCTTAGATAAGTGACTTTAATTTGAGAGAGTTGGTGGTAAGTTAGAGTTACGGTCTTGTGTTGCAAAATTGAAGCAACACTTACTTCCTCTTTAAAAAAAAAAAAAAGAATCAAAAACAAAGCAAAACAAAAAACAGGGTTTCCTGAATCACAAATGAATATCTGAATACCACAAATGTATACAGTATAATAATATATGATTGCACTCAGGTTCACAGGTCATTTCTGGATGCATGTGCATGTGTGTGAAAGAGATTTATATTGATGTTTATCCTTCAAAACCAACCAGTGTTGTTGCTGGTGGTGCAGAGGCAGATGACTGCGGTCCCCTGTTGACAGAGATGTTTATCTACTGCTGCTGAGGTTTGGGGTCTTTGAAAACAAAATTTTCACACGTTCCCTTGTACTCCCAGGTGGAGTCTATGGACAAATACCTTTTCCCATTCTCATTTCTTCACAGACCTACTTGTTTTCTTTAAGTGTATGCCTGCCTATAATTATCTGAATTCATTTATAATTGCTGCCCTAACAAATTCCAGAGAGACCTACCAAGGAGAAAAGAAGAACTCTGTGGGCCAGGGTAATTCCACCTGTGGCCTGTTAGCCCCAGGAAAATTATAACCCATCACCCCACCCTGCTAGGCCTTATAGCCAGTTTTCTCCAATAATTTCAATACTACCGGCATAAGAATACATGGCTTCCCCTTCCATCCCTCTCATGGGCCATATTCTCGGTTCATTTTGAAACTGTAATGACTTAGATAAAAGGAGGACTACACACGGTAACTTTAGACCCATTTACAAAATGTGAATATTATTGTGGTTGACTGCGACCCCCACTCCAATATTACAGATTCCAGAATTAGTCTTGTAGCATTTTACACTGTTTGTGGTGGACAGTAAATGTTCCTACCATCCAGCTTGCTTTAGTGGTGTACCTAAATCCAGGTGCTGGCCCTTAGCCCTTTTAGTCAGTAACAAGAGTTTGGGTCAAGTTTTCTCCAACTTGGAACCAAAGTTCCTATCTTTTTTTATTTTGGTTGGGGTTAGGGGTGTTTGTTGTTTTTACTTTGTTTTTCGAGACAGGTTTTCTCTGTGTAGCTCTGGCTGTCGTGGAACTTGCTCTATAGACCAGGCTGGCCTCGAACTCAGAGATCCACATCTTTGCCTCTTGAGTGTTGGGATTAACGTTGTGGGCCACCACTGCCTGGCTGATCAACCAAAGGTTCTTCATTGGCAAGCTATGACTTTGAGTCAAGTGTGCTGAAGAAAGGTCTGGAATCCCACTGCAATAAGATAAAGCAATTTAAATGTAGATGCCTGTGTTTCTTAAGATTTTTTTTTAACAATTTCTTCAAGCAAACAAAAGTTTCAGAAGTGCTGACAGACCTTCTGATAAAGGTGACTGACTGTCACCCTCATTCCCCACTCTCCTGGCCAGAACTACATCAAGTTGACATGAGAAAATCTTTTCCAAAGGCCCATGAGCACCTTTCACAGGCAAAATAAACCCAAGAGCAAGTAGAATTGGAAATACATTTTAGTTGTTGGTAGAGCTGACTGGCTGCCTTGAAAAGCAGACTTAATCTAGCACAAAAGACTTTCATCATTGAAGCTGAAGGTATGGTTCAGTGGCTAAGAGTTCACCACCACTGCAACCAGCATATTGTAAGTTATGGTGTACTTGTCCTTCTATCAAAATGATTACAGCCACCATAAACACCGTGAAACATGAATATAGTTCATGAGGGGGAAAAAAGAATAGAAAAGGGAATCGTTGTTTCTTAGATAAAGTACCACTTACCTTGGCTCACTAACCACAGAGAGGAGAAAAAGGAAGAAAACAGCAGGCTGTGGCATCCCATCTGAGCTTGAACACTACCTTCAATGGTACCCAGGAGGGTGATATTTAAGCAAAGCATCCTGGAATCTTGGCCTCTTTGTGTGTAAATAACACAATGGACTGCAGGTTGTAGGGATGCTGTGAGAATCAGTGCAGTACCGTATGCATATTGCTTCCCATTCTCTGTAACTGCTGCTAAAACGAACAGGCTAAGACCTTCCCAGGAATCACTAAACATGAGGGCCTCCCTCTTGTTTTTTTGGTTTTTATTTATTTATTTATTAGTTCTAGTTAGGGAACAAGCTTGTTTCAAGTCCCTTCTCCCTCTCCCTCCCCTCACCCCCAACCCTCCT